TGTGACATTACATTAAAATATATAGATGGCAGGAATAATGAAGCACATGGGACATGATCAATTTAGTTGATAAAAAAATTCATTGATTTGTGAGATAAGTTAACAAAAATTATATGAACTACAAAACAAATCTATAATGTCCAAAGTGTTGCAACTATATCTTCAAATTTAACCACAACTTTTTTTATGAGATTTTCCTATCATGTCTCAATCCTAAATGAGAGGGATAGGATATGAGATTAAAATTCAATCTTTATCTTTTTTCGTGATTTTATAGGTATATGGTTGTCATAATCCTACTTTGTACATAATCCCATTCTATACTAACCACACTACTATTATTAGACCTAATTAGAAATAACTCTCATAGATACATTTTCTACATTTACATAAATTCAAACTCAAGACCTCATACTTTTGGCACAATTCACTACGATCAATGCCATACTATTGACAAGTTTTAATGTTCCAATTATATAATATATTTGTACAAAATTCACTATTTAATGATTATATATATATAAAAATATTGTACAAAATGTAAATTTTTATTTAATATTAATATATTACTAGCATCGTATGATGTATTGCTGGTTAACCCTTAAATTTGTTATACATTTTCATAAAGCTATCATTTAGTTTTGCTTGAGTCATAGACTTATTGATAATATTTAAGATTATATTACTAATCTTTTTTTATAGTATTTGAATTTATTGATTTGCCCTTGATGGGAATCAAGTCATTATATTAGAGCAATTCATGGATCTGACACATCCTGAAATTATGAGAGTTGACTAGAATCAAGAATTAATAATGAATTTTTGATTAATTCCAAAATAATAATTCCTATGCAATTATGTGATTAATCCAATCAAATCATTCCCTCTGTTTTGAGGCAAATTGATGATGATTGATTTTCCTTTTCAGTGACAGCCTTCTACCCTGGAGCAAGTACATCTCTCTTTGTATTCGTTCTTCACAGTCCCTTTCTTTCTTTCTTTCTTTGGCATATCTATTATGTACTTTAGATAAGACTCTAGTAGTATGATCTCATGGGTATTTAGGTAGATTTTACTAAACTTAGATTGATTAAAACCTTGACACTGCTTTAGCTAGCATATTATTTATTCTATAATATTCCTTTGTATCTATTATCACTTTTTTCATCATGACTTCTAATATCAAGAAATTTCAATTTCGTTGATGTACACAAGGATGGAGTTTTACGATCATGGGTGTTATACTTGAGATTATAATTACGATAATGAATGTTATAATTTCTCTCAGAGATTTAGGATATATAGGGTAAACTGCAAACCTTTTTTAATTAGATTTATTTCATACATAAAAGTCAAGATTTTAAACCTAGTTATTTTCTTAAGAAATGGGAACCATTTACACTAACTTTTTTGTTTGGATAAAAAAGATCAATTAAATAAACTGAAGGTAGTTTACATAATATAAGTATAAGGAATCGTAAAGTTAAAAGGGGAAAGAAAATAAGATTTTCCTTGAGAAACATTAAAGTAAATAGCACCAAAATTTTCAAGTAATAAACTAATGTTGATCACCAAAGGCTGGATAGAATGATGTTTCTACAAGAGACAATTATAAAGCTTCTTTTTTTTGTAGCAAACCAAAGAAAAACCACAACGATCAGTGAACCTTTGATTTGTCTTATGCTTAATCCATATCAATAAGGCTCCAAGGCAGACCAAAAAGAAGGAATTGGATTCAATGGATAATGAGCATCTCCAAGTAAAGCTTGTAATAGGTTTTGAGTTGATATATAAGAAAGCAAGACAGCAAACATTACTTTCTTTTTTATCCTTGATCATCTTGGCATTCCAATTACAAAGTAGAGGCATAGTTGGATGATGATTTCAAGCACAACCAGAAGGATTGAAAACACCTAATGAAATAATTTTGTCACTTGTATCATACCAATGACATACATAAAAAATATAGTGGTATTGACTATGAAATTTTAACAATACTTGACTAGGTTGATGGGTAATTCCATCCATTATGAAATGCAAGATTCCTCTTTTGCCAAATCAAATTGAGGAGTATAATAATACCTCTCAACTAAAGTTCAACCCATCCTTGTGTAAGTAAGACAGCATAGAAACAATCTAGTTAGACAATCTAACAACCTCAATGTCTGAGGAGTGGATAGACAAAGCACTAAATCATGTAAGTCTAGTATAATTACAATTACCAAACAAATGTGTCAATGACTTAGAATTTGGACATTCAAAGACACATTGAAATTGTACATTTAAATGACACTATTGAATGATGTCTCTAATTAGAATTGCTGAATGGATCAGTTTGCATATGAACAAGAGGTACTTATGTGGCAACTTAATTTTCTATAGAAAATTCTAGAAAGAATCATTAGAGATAGAAGTTTCATGCCTACAGATGGAAGAAAAACCATCTTTGATAAAATAAGAACCATTAGAACTTAGTGACCAAAGTAGCTTATCATCTAGAGAAAGTAAGGAAAAAGGAGTTTTGAGAATGGCTTGAGCATCATAAGGCCCATATGTTTTCTAAATCACATCTCTATTCCAATTATAGGGAGAACAAGGTGAATTTCTGTATATCGCAAGATCAAATACTTGGTTGATATTGAACCTATTAAGCAAATTTTAGTTAATCAATTTCCACCAAAGTTGATGATCAAATATAATATTAACTCTAGAACCTATTTACCATTTCATATTTTTAAGAATGATGTCCTGAGAGTCCAAGATGCCCTTCCAAAATCATAAAGTATTATAAGGTTTCTTTCGTTTAATGTGACTAGAGAGATCAATATATTTTATCTTGAGAGTGTTACTGAGTAGGGAGTTTGGTTGAGAGAATAAAGTCCTCTACATTTGTTTGGCAAGCAAAGCCAAATTCATTTGATGAGATGATCAAATACCAAGCCCACCTTTAGAGATGGGAGCAAAGAGGAAATCCTTCTTAGCCAACTGCATCCTTTTTGAATCATGATCAAAACCCCAAAAGAAATCAATTAGCTTGGAATCAATAACGCTACAAATTTTCTTTAACGGTTTAATGTATGACAGTAAATAAATATTTGATGTATATAACACAGACTTGATTAAAGTTAAGCGTGAGGCTTGAGAAAGCAATTTGACCCTCCAGCTAGAAATATTTTTGTTGATAGAAGCAAGAAGATGCTCATAAAGTATAGATTTGTCTTTACCAGTATCTAGCCAAGTTCCCAAATATTTACCAAGCTTATTTGCTATTATGCAACCAAGTTGAGGTAAAACAAAATTCCTCATATCAGGAGTCATACTAGGATTGAGAACCATGATGGATTTATCCTTATTGATATCTAACCCATACTACTTGCAAAAAGTGTTCAGTATATCTTTAGTTGTGACAAGATTAGCATTGTTACACTTAAAGAAAAATGTTGAGTCATTTGCATACAAAAGGTATGTGATTGAGTAAGCATCATTGCATATTTTAATACCTTTCAAAGCACCTAGTTGTTCCTTATGTAAGATGAGGCTAGACAAGATATTTGGAGCAAGAATGTAGAGATAAGGGAATAAGGGTCCCCTTGCCTCATTCCATTAGAAGGATATATTGGTGGTGTAGCTTTGCCATTAAAAAGAACTTGGTAATGAACCGTGGAGGTACATTGTTAAATCAGTTGAGTCAATCTTGATAGAAAATTTACCTTAATAAGGATTGCTTCAATGAAAGACCAAGATATCCTATCAAAAGCCTTTTCAAAGTTAATTTTCCAAGCAACTAATTTCTTCCTCTTACCTTTGGCTGAATGAACTTGATACATTAGATTTACAGCTAGAGCCAGTAATTCGGGCCAAACCCAATGGGCTAGCCCGAATTGGCCCGAAAAATTTTAAGGCCGGACTTAGAAAAAAGATGTTTTTTTATGTTCAGGCAACCCGAATAGGCTCTAAAAAATTCAGGCCAAGCCCGGTTCGAATACCCGAATAAAAAAAATTATATTTTTAAAAAATATATATAATATAATAAATATTAATTAATTCTTTAAGTTTTAGATCATTTTATACTAAAATATCATATATTTATGTCCTAGACATCGTTTAAGTATTAAAAAAATATATTATATATTTTTTATAAAATAAAATAATTAATTTTAAAGTAAAAAATAATTAAAAATAATTTTAAAAATTAAATTCGAGTATTCGGGCCGCCCGAAGCCCGAAAGAATTCGGGCCGAGCTTGACTATTTGGACTTTTCAAAGAGTCGAGCCTATTCAGGTTCGGGCCTATTCTGGCTGAGCCCCAATAGGCCCAACTCACCCGAATTACCGACTCTATTTACAGCAAATAGAATATTGTTTGTGATAAGTCTTCCTTTCACATAAACAGTTTGAAAAGGAAAGATTAGCTTAGACATTAATTTAAATTAACTTTTTACTTTATTCTTTTTTCATCGACTCACGTTGTTGGAAGGTTAAAACTCATAGCCGTACCCACTGCTTGATGTTACCATGTTTTGCTCATACTTTATTCTTTTTACTAAACCATTTACAGTAACTTAAATAAACTTTTTACTATATTCTTTTTTTATCAACTCACGTTGTTGGGAGGTTGAAACTCATAGCCATACCCACCACTTGATGTTACTATATTTTGTTCATACTTTTATAATCTTTTGATTAATGGATGCTTTTTTATTAAAAAAAATAAAACTGAAACTTATACTATATTAATTAGAAATTTTTTAAAATAATTTTAATTAGATATCACAGTTTATGATTTTTAAAAAATAACTATTAAATTCAAATTAAGGATTTTTATAAGCTTAAAATTTTAAAACTAAAGATTAAAATAAAAACACGCTTTATTAATAGAATAAATAATAATAAATGAAAACACGCTTTTCTGCTTTAGTTTGACCTTTTTCTAACGGCATCTTTTTTTTTTTTTTTGTCAGATTTCTAAGGGTATCTTAATAGACGCTCCCTCTGCTATATTATGTCTGGCCCTCTCACCCTAACCCCCAAATCTATAGGAAAGCCGAAAGCCCTAGCTGATATCTTATCTCACAATTTCTCTTTGTTCTGTTTTTGAAATCTTTGGTCTTTGATCGTGCCGACTAGGTAACGAGTTGGGTGGAAATCATGGGCAACACGGAGAAGCTGATGAACCAGATTATGGAATTGAAATTCACCTCCAAATCCCTTCAACGCCAAGCCCGTAAATGCGAGAAGGAAGAGAAAGCCGAGAAGCTCAAAGTCAAGAAAGCCATTGAGAAAAACAACATGGACGGTGCTCGCATCTACGCTGAGAACGCCATCCGCAAGCGAACCGAGCAGATGAATTATCTGCGGCTCGCCTCTCGGCTTGACGCCGTTGTGGCTCGGCTCGATACCCAAGCCAAGATGAACACCATCAGCAAGTCAATGGGTAATATTGTGAAGTCCCTTGAATCTTCCTTGACTACTGGTAATCTCCAGAAGATGTCTGAGACCATGGACCAATTTGAGAAGCAGTTTGTGAACATGGAGGTTCAGGCGGAGTTCATGGAGAGCTCCATGGCTGGATCCACTTCCCTATCTACTCCCGAAGGGGAAGTCAATAGCTTGATGCAACAGGTGGCCGATGATTATGGCCTTGAGGTTTCGGTTGGTCTGCCCCAGCCTGCAGCGCACGCAGTGCCCACTAAGGAGGCTGAGAAGGTCGACGAAGATGACCTGTCTAGGCGGCTTGCCGAACTCAAGGCTAGAGGTTAAAAGTTGAATTCTTAATTGGGTTTATGACTGCAATATATATACGTTTGCGTAATCATAGTGACTGGGAGTTTGGCCATTAAACATTATCCTTAGAATGAGTGATTTGTGTATATCAAACTGAATTTGGCTGAGTCATTATGCAGACTTTCCGTGGGCATTTCGATGCCCTTTGCTTAATGCCATAATATGGTTGGTTTGTGTATTGACTGCGATAACGTGAATTCTTTAAATTTGCTTATTGTGTGCATCCTCAATTTTGGGTTTTGTGTATGTTAGAGATTAAGAGGGCATATGTCTTTATGATGTTAGTAGTAATTTGTTGAAATGTAAATATGCTCAAATGGTTTCCCATTTCTAGTAACTGCTGGCTTAGACATTTGTGGATTTTGAGAGGCTACTGCAGCGGCATTATAGATCTAAGGAAATGCTGAATTTTTGAAACAGAAAAGTGTTTAGAGGCATTTACACTGTTCATTTAGTTTGAAGGTTGATTTCATTGTGATACTGATAATGCCCTGTATGAAACTGCTGGGATCAGTAAGCTAAGAAGTTCTTGGATGTTTTCTGGGGGATCGGCATTGTCAGTTGTTTCTTTTGTAATTTTGGCACTAATTTGATCAGGATGAGATAGATGGAGGCAAGTTTTGGTTAAAAAATGAAAACCTATTTTGTTGACAGATGCAGTTGGGCTAAAATGCTAAATATGGAGTATTGAGGCCTTATGGGTTCGGATTTCATATTTTGGAGGAGTCTTGGTAGGGACTTCTTTAGAAATTGGTTTCATGTGATATTGTGGTTCATGAAACTCTAGATTATAATGGTAAAATCAAAACTCAAGATTATGGATGGTAAATTACTTTTTTTTAGGAACCATGATATAATAGAAGTATATCTCAAAGACTAGGCAAGTTAAGTGCGAATCATTGCCTATTCAAGACAATCATTGTCCTAGTTGTTCTTCTCTTGAAGTTTTCCTGAATGATTTGTTGGGATCATAGCATGCTAATCTTTATATGGTGAAAACTGTGTGTAGCATGAATCCATCTTAATCTTTTTTTAATTTTGACAAATATCTAGGTTTATAGTGAAGGTGCATCTAAAGTGTGTGCAGAAAGTGCTGAATTATGTTATTGGTTTATGTCAACATTGTGCTTGATCTGTGAAGATTGATGCATGCAAAAGGAAAACATTCTTAACTTGGACTGCATTATTAAACAAGTATGCGGAAATCATACAATGCTTCTTGTCTTGCATGATGTGAATGTTTGTGGCTTCCAAGTGATTGAGAAATCTAATTCTCATTTCTTTCAACTGGTGTTAGTTGTCTTGTGCACCTCGCAGGTTGATTTTGATTCTTAGTTTTTGCATTTTAGTGCTGTGAAATATTTGACTTGATGAATAAGCTTCAGTTTTGTGCATTTTGGTTCACACAATTGAACTTGGGTTGGGGTAAGTCATACAAAAGTAAGTTGGGTCTGTACGATTTGTTCTAAATGATTTGGGGAATTGAAAACCTGAAAATTCTGCTCCGGATAATAATGTTCTGTAACATTGCCAAGCACCATAAAATATATATTCTGTCAGATCAGTTGTCTAGGTGTATGATTTGTCAGCATATTAACATGGGTGTGCAAGTCTGCAGGATAAACCCGCATCTGATATTGTTATGTATAGTTAATGTTCATGTTCAGTGATGGTCTATGTAATTTCATTTGAAATTGTTCTCTGATAAGTGGGCCATAGTTTTAGCAGATTTTATGTTTTAAGAGGACTCATTACAGAAAATATTTCAATATACATATTACCTCAACATCCCCTCTTGTTGCTGAATGATTTTCTTTTTACATGCCTCTCCTTTCGGCTGCAAGAGATCCATGTATCAATTTCTTGTTGGCTTTGTTCAAGAGGCATAATCTACTTGCAAGAGATGGTGTATTTGCAACCAGATTGTGCTTGCCTGCCTCCCTGGTTTTCCCTCTTTGATACATCTTTCTTCTGTCAATTTTTCTGACAGCTGGTTTGTGCATGTGTACATGTGTCTGTGTTGCATCTAAAACTTCATTTTCAATTCTTATCAATCAATCTTTCTTATTGTTATAAATGGCAAGGTCAATGTACTACACGCAACTAAAAAGTGTTTATAACTTTGTTCCATTCCCCTTTTTTGTTTGCCTATCATCTCCAGGTTGTTATTCGTCTTTACTTTCTCGCTTCCTAATTTATATTTCCAGATTCGATGGGTTTGGCTGGGTCTGGTTCCTTGGAATATTTTGTCTTCTTGTACCACTATGTCAAATTTTAATATTAAAATATTAATAGGAGTACAATTTAATTTTTATCAACTTTGGTTTACCGTGACAAATAGTCACCTGTGAAGGGGCGACTCATTGTTAACTATACAAGTCAAAATTACTTAAATTTGAGTCTTCATAATGGATTCTCAATCATATTTCACAAACAAATAATAATTTATAAGTTTCATATTTCAATCAAGATTATCTGGGGTCTATTTTTGCTTAAAAGTATGCATCCGATTCTTTGTTAATTGAAGACTTGACCTTTTTGAAGGTAAAAATTTGAGTCTTTTAAAAGCTCCGTGTCCTTATTTAATAGATGCAAAAAGTTAAAATGGATTTATGCCAGGGTTAATATATAATTTAAAGGGAGAATTATAGTTAAATTTCACACAAGAAAATTAATTATTGTAAGATGCATTGATAATTGAATTAAATTACATTGACAAGTGGGCAGTTTAGTTCAGTTGTTAATGAATCTTGTAGTAATTAATTTCCTTGTGTGGAATTTTAATATAATTGTCCCTAATTTAAATCTTGAACTATAAGTTTAGATGTAACTTGAATTTTAAACTTTTAAAATGTACATTTTAAATTATAAACAATTAAAGTTAAGATAATTTTGTTTTCATTGTTAAATTCAAACAATTGTCTATCAAATGAAGTTTAATTTGTAGTTTTCACTAAATGAGGGTACGAGAAATAGGGAGAATGAAATTTGGTGAAAATTATATATTAAATTTTAATTTTTAAAAAATTAATAGAGGTTTATTAACATTTAACAGTAAGGGTAAAATTGTATTAACTTTAATTATTTAAAGTTCAGGATGAATATTTTAAAAGTTTAAAGTTTAAATTATTACTGAATTAATAGTTTAGAATTTAAATTGCATATACAGAAATTTAGAACAAATCATCCAAAAAAGGCAATGATTCGCACTTAACTTGCCTAGGCTCTGAGATATACTTCTATAATATCATGATACTTTAAAAAAAAAAAAAGTAATTTACCACCCATAATCTTGAGGCCTTTTGGACCACTATAATCTGGAGTTTAACAAACAGTAGTTGCCAAGTGGGGCGAATGCGGTCAACCCTTACGTTTCAATGCCTTCAGATATGTTTAGATTTTAATTGAGTATAATTAATTATAAAAAAATTAATTAATATTATTAATTTTAATTGGATGATTTCATAATTGATTTATAAAATCCATTAATAAGACTGATTTTAATTAAAATTAAAAAGTAGAATTAAAAATAAGGTAAAGTCATAATTTTGTGAAAATATATCCAAATACTCTTGTTATATATTAAAATTAATTATGAATTCAAAACTATATGTTTTAAAAAATTTCAAACACCCGTTATACATGTCAAAATTAATTATAAATTAATTTTTTTTTAAAATATAATAATACCCATACATGCCAAGATTAATCATGAACTCAAAATGATGATTATCCTATAAGCTACTATTACTTACTTTTCAATTATACTTTTTAAAAAATTTATCCAAAAATTATATAAATTATTTTACAAATCATATTTTTGATTTTATAATTAATTTTGAAATATATAGTGCTAGTTTGGTTAACATTTGAAATCAATTTTTGAGTAAAAAAATTATAATTTTGTAAAAATATATTCAAACACCTCTATTACATGTTAAAATTAATTATAAATTCAAAACTACATTTTTTTTAAAATGTCAAAACACTCATTGTACATGCTAAAATTAATTATAAATTTAAAATTATAGTTTTTTTTTTAAATATCCAAACCCCTCTATACATGTCAAAATTAATTACACACAAAAAATAATGATTTGTAGAATAATTTATATAATTTTTGGATAAATTTTTCGAAAAGTATAATTGAACATATGAATTAAAAAGCAAGTAATAGTGTAGCTTATGAGATAGTCATAGTTTTTTATTCATAATTGATTTTAGCATATATGGGATATTTGAATATTTTTAATAAAACTATAATTTTTGGTTCGTAGTTAATTTTGACATGCATAATGGATATTTGAATATTTTTTGAAAAATATGGTTTTAGACTTAGTTAATTTTAACATGTAACAGGGATATTTGAATATATTTCACAAAATCATGATTTTATTTGATTTTTAATTCTTCTTTTCAATTTTATTTTTCAATTATGATTAAAATTAATTTTATAAATCAATTATATTCTTCATAATATAATCAATTATATTTAAAATCAATGATATTAATTAATATTTTTTATAATTAATTATACTCAACTGAAAACACATGGTGTGTGCCTGTTATGATTATTTGCACGGAAATTATGTTTTGATAAAAAATCATCCAAACACTATCATTTTTACATTATTGATTATCTTGTCTAAAACTGCGTTTTGTCTTCGGCTGATATTCCCAACTTTCCAATATCAATTTCAGAATATCTGAACTAAATATACCCCTAGCATTTCATGGCTCATGGCTCATGGCTCATGGCATTACGTTCATGCAGACATCTTCACATCCGAAGATACCTCCGGACGAACACTTAATCTGGCATTCATTTGTATAAGAGTTTCGAACATTTATTATATACGTGTATTAAATAATTTTTATAAATATTAAATATATTACTATTATATTTTTATCAAATAAATGAAGGTAAATTTAATAATATGGAAAATTTAATCTTTTGGTCTCTATAATTTTAGCATAGTTATACATGAATTCCTAAATTTTAATTTATTATAACTCAATCTTTATAGTTTTGACTCAATTCTTAAATTAAAAAAGATTCAATTATTTTAAAATGTTAATCAATTAAAAATTTAAATAATTTAAAATTAGTCTTTAAATTTCAAAATAATTTTAATCTTTCCAATTTTTTTTTCTAAAATACAAGAATCAATATTTTAA